TGTCTGTCTGTCTGTCTGTCTGTCTGTCTGTCTGTCTGTCTGTCTGTCTGTCTGTATGTCTGTATGTCTATCAGTCTGTCTGTATCTATACATCACCCCTCCCCTAACCATATCCCCCCCTCCCTATGTAGAACAATAGTACAATTATTATTATTTCAGTGGTCCAGGAGGGAAGCTAATCGTCGCCTACCGCCGGTGAAACAAGCCCCTGGTCTCCCTCTCTACGGTCTGAACTCAACACCATCTTTATCTTTGCGGGTGTCGGCGCGCGGCTGTAGTGATGTGTGGTCCCCTCGGTGTTAGGTTCTTTCGGTACCGAGCACGACCGAGCACCGTGGCTTAATCGTGGGATTCCTGCTATTACTGTTAAGCCGACTGGGGCGAACTGTGGCCGTTTGGGAACCGTGGGAGGGCCAGTTGATGACAGGGACCAGATACCGATGTCAAATAGTCGTCGATGCAGTTACGCAATGGACAGCTGTTGGTTTTGGGTCCGAATTTGGAACGAATGTTATTGATTTGGGACGTTTGGTGGTAGCGCGCTTGTCTGCGTTAATATTTTTTGGTGTTGAGATGTTTTCGACGATTCCGTACGATATCAGTTATATTGTGCTGTGAATGATGTTGCCTGCCCCCTTCACTTCGTACAGTTTTTGCCCCCACTTTTTCTGCCTTTTCCTAACCAACGACAGGTGTAATGGCCATGGCTTTGCCATTCTCTTTTGCTCGCAAAAATCTGTCTTCTTTCTTTTTCATTCTGATCTGTCATACATGAATACGGTTTAATCTCCCCCCCCCCCCCCCCCAACCCCGCCCACAAAAGCCCCATAGTGCTGTGGGATCGGATTTTCAAAGTAACATGCACATATTTAGAAAGCATGGCACTCGCGATCATGCTTAAACGAAAAACAAAAACACACTGATATCTATATCAAATGCATGTTCCAGGCTGGGACTAAACAAGAACACTCAAATCGCTGGTGTAACGGTTTTTCTCTATGCTATTATTGCACACGAAAGAAGTGAGCTTGATCCTTTGGTGAGGAAGTTGTTTATATCTAGAATCCCCGCCTGTAAGCTGGGATGTTATATCCCACTCCACCTGCGTTGTCCCTTACTGGCAAACCAAAACTGTCCACTTTGTCAAAGATCAGTGGTGTTGATGGTGGTGCAAAACGTGTTATAGTGTAGTTGAGCCCACTTTTGAAATGACACATTCTTGGAATGAAAGATACTAAACTAGATCTAAAACAAAAACCTCAGTGTTGGGACCCAGTTTTGTTATGCCATACACAATATTCTGAATGCAGTTACACAATTGACAGCTGTTCCTGGTTTTGTGTCTGAATTTGGGACGAGTGTTAATTGATTTGGCACGTTAAGTAATGTGTTTGACATGATTATCATATTTCCATAATGTATTCAGACAAGCACTAAACTCATTCTAAGGCGGAAAGGTCAGGTCCTTCCCCAATACATTCGGAGGGACCCCCGCCCCCCTCAAATCTATACCGAATGCCATTGTGCCCAATGCATTTTCCAGCAAAAAAGCTCACTGAGATTTGTACCAAATATCTCATCTGTATCGAATTCTGTTTCAGGAGTGGAGAACCCGGCCCCCATGCAGCGCACGGTGAGCAGCAGTTACCTGGTCCGGCGCCGTCTGCCTGTGCCCGCCTCTGTGGCTGACGTGGACAACGAGCTGCTGCACTCCGGCGTCGCCATCTTGCCTGGTGAGTAGCAGGCTGCGTGGTAGTAATTGGGATGTAATAATAATATGGTTGTACCGCTCCTTTCAACACTACCTTATTGTTTGGTATGGGTTCACTGCCCCTTTTAACATGATGGGTTTACCACCACGTTCATCAACTCTTGGATATGGTATGATTTGAGTTCAACGCCCCTTTCAGCATTACAGTGATGGTATGTCGGTCCCTGTACCCAAAGCAAAAGAAACAATAGGGATGTAAAAAAAAAAATTAAAAATCCAAGACGATTTACCCTTGAGCCGCTGCCCTTACACATCTTTTTATCAACTGCCTTTCTCTTTGTGTTAGTTTTGTTTCAAGTTTTCAAACCTTTGCAAATGAAGCCCAATCTCCCACGAGTGTCTATTTTGTCTTCTTAAGAAACCTACGTTTAGCTGGACTTAGGGGACTAGGATGACCATGAAAGTTGTGAGTGAGATACAGTCTGAAGGCGCACATGTGATAGGGAGGGAGATGTCAGCGGCTATTACAGACAAGCTGCTAAGCATTTGAAAAATGAATATAAAGTGGATAGATATATCAGCAGAAGAGAGAGAGTGTGGATAAGTGAATAATGAAATGAGAGACGAGGTAAATAACTTTTGGAATAACTGAGGTATTTTCAGGATAAATAGATGTTGATGAATATTTTCTAATAAACCTTTAGTCTCTAGCACGAACCGTAACTTGATCCAAGTTGAACATGTCGTAATTGAGGGGAAGGGGGTCTTCGATTTACGATTCAAGGACATTTTTCATGAGCTCTGTCTGGGTCAAATGCACAGTTAATGTCAAGCTACGAGTTCGCACCAAACAAACCCAATAATTGTAGACGATCAAGAGTGCATCACTTTTATGTCCACCCAGAACAAGGACACAACTAGAAAATGAACCCAATAAGGTTTCTCGCTGTTCTCCTTAAGATGGGTCTTCTGATTGGGATCTGTGCCCCTGGCTACTTTTTTCGGGTTATGGCTATGGTGTGGTCCGTGGGAAATTGAAATTGCAATAATAGAGGCCTTGGGTTCAGCTTACTGATATATATCATTATTTATTGTGATACTTGTTCTCTGTCTCTGTAACTAGCGTTCTGGCGTCTGAGGCTTGGTGCTTGTCTTGGCCATTTCACACAAAAGTCTTGGGATCGATTCTCTCGTCGGGGTGTTTTTTATTCGGTTGTTGTTTTTTTTTAATCGAGTATCTCCATCTCTGTCCTCTGAGATGTTGTATCCCACGTATCCCAGGGTCGTAGCAGGACAAGTCCTAAATTACCTATTGTGGAAATGGGGGTGTAAAGCAACTGCAATCTGTTGTTGGCGTTGTGTAAAGTCGTGGCGGTCGTACCTTTAAAATGGACAGTATCCTGGTTTGCTGCAGTCATGATATTTATAATGTATGTCAGCCAATGATTTTTTTAATATTATGACTCTGCTTTTTGATGTATGATCTGTAGAGAATGCCCTTGAACGGGGTACGATAACCATGGGTAAAAATATTGGACGCAGAGATGCCGTGGCATGTAATGGCGTTTTTTAGGGTGAGAATTGTGCAGTGTGTGTACTTAAGTTTATGTATGCTTCGATAGAGGCATGATTACCTTGCAATTGTAGTCCATCTATATGCCCTTGTTGAAAATATTATGTTTTTGTTTTGCGGTGTCTGTGGTGTATCATATCCAGTATCTTCGTCTATCTGCAGGGACATTGCTCTGAGCTGCCTTGGTCAGCCGGGTAGAAGTTGCCTACCTCCGAAATTTTCTAAATTGTGCCAATGGGGACTTCAAACCATTACGATCATCTATCAAGTTTCCTTTCGCTTTTCTTTCCGTCTGATAATAATGCTAAGTTCTCTTTCTACTCAGTATAGGAATTCGCCATGTTTATAATATGTAAGTTCAAAGTACGTCGTATTTTTCTGCACCTTCGTTCTTTTCTCTATAAATAAAAAGCGTGTCATAAAGAACCGGTGAAAAAACCAGTGTGTGCTGTGACTATATTTTCAGTGGCTTTGTTCCTATTTCGGTTTTTTTCTTTCCCTAGTGACATTTGAGAACCAATTTTGAATAGACTTGAGGCTTCCGCGCGGGGAAAAAGGGGGCCATATGAAAGAGTCTGCTGCATTTGTCAATTTACTCTTGCTTTTTTTTGCCTTTGTTTAAACTTCTCACATTCTCTGCTAACATGAAAAGGCAGACACCTCGTGCGACCTCAGACCCGACGGTGCCGACTTTGGCTAGGCTATTTTAAGCCTAGTTTAAGCCTACTTTCTGGGTGAACTTTGTTGGGGTTACCTTTCGCCTGCTTGGCTCAATAATAATGCTGTTGATGGGAGGTAATTGTGTGATTACTTGTGGGGGACATGCCGCGCGGATTAAGGTCGGGGGTCTTTGATCTTCTGTTTTTATTGGTTTAAGTGTGGGATGCTCGTGTCTGTAGAGTACAATGCAGTGCCGAAGACTAGTGTTTTGGGGGGCTTTTCGGTATTATTTTCGTTGTTGAGTTGGAATTGGAGTATCAGATAGCTTCTTTTATTTCGTTTTTTTTTTCTTTAAGCTTGGAAAAAGCAGTGGGGTGGGGGATAGCAGTCTTCCCAGGATAAGAACGAAACAGTCCTCTTTTTTGCCTCTACCGATGTCCTGTTGGCGTAGGTTTTCAAAGGAGCCCCCACCCCCTCCTTTCTCCCTGTCTCTCTCAGAAGTCAGCTTTGTCTATCGGTTTTACCACTCGCCTTCTGATAATAGTGGAGAAGGGGAAGGACGGGGGAGGGGTGGCAGGTTCCGTCCCCCCTTGAAGGTCATTGGCGTTTTCTCTTAATGCCCTATGAACTTTTGACAAATGGTCATAACGCCGGCACCTGTAGTGTAACCGTTATGCTTTTCGCTGTTGTACGTGAAGGAAGTGAGTTTGATTTTTATCCAGAATGGGTATCTCCGTCTGTCTGCTGGGATTCTGTATCCAACCCATCCTTAGTCGGTCACAACAGGCTGGGTCAAAGCTGCCCACCTCCTAAATGATCTGAATTGGGCCGAAGGGGGTGGAAGCATTTACAATGTATTTCATTTTCCAAGCGCATTTACCACACTGGCTTTTTAGCCCGTCGTCATGACCTTTGTGTGGAGTGTATTTTAAACTCCATTATTGTTATGGAACTTTGTGGAGTTCAGGAGAAGAAGAACTCTTACGTCAGTACTAACGTAATTATCTCAACCTACAGCGAATATGCTATCAGTATAAGTCCCGTAGAAATTCTGTTTATCTCCGAATTTTACACCGCTTGTCAAGTACCAGCTTTAGTTCATAGGCGCTGCTCTTTGTAATGGACGAGGCAAAGCCCTATACGTATGAAATATAAAAATCTCAATCTCATTTTCCCTGGAGTTTACTTTGGAAAACGACACCCTGTCTTCTCTGGAGCACAAAGTAGCACATCGCTTCAGTCAC